AATTATGGTGTCACATTTTCCGCAAATTGTCCGTAATATAGTAAAAACTTAATATAATATAATTTTGGCAATGTCCAAAATAGTACAATTTGCGACATTACAAAAAAATCTGCGTGTCCCACATCTTGTTCTCCACACAACAAGAAGGGATTTATTGATGAGGCTGCAACACTATAAGAACCAATGAGAATGATACATTTTTGCACAATTGAGAGCCCTGATTTCCAGATATGATATCGTAAATGTCTGTATGTCTGTTGAGATTGACACTGACAGGACCGAAGGAAAAATATTTGTGTTGATTGAGTGGGTGATAGTAAAGAGTTTATTTCTCTTAATGCATGACAATTATATGCACAGTTGTGGTTGAAAGAGTATTTTTTTCCATATTTCAGAGATTATGAATGATAACGCAAACCACTCATTGTTTTGTGAAGGTATCGTCAACTAAAAATGTCTTCTTTTCTAAAATTCTTATGACAAAATAAACTACAAGAATGACAGACATTTTGAATCCCCAGTTTTCATTTTAAAATACAAAACGTGGTTGGAGTGTTTTGTTGTAGTAGTTGCAGACACGGTCCTCTCGAATGATAAAGCATTCTTCTTTGCATTCTTCTTTGCAAAAAGCCTCCAGTTTTTTTGTAAAATCCTGGGCTGCCTTGCACAAAACAAACATTTTACCTCTTCATAGATGGCTCAATGATGTTGTTTTTTGAAAATAGAAAAAAAACACATTTATTTGACAATACATGACTACTCACAACCACTACCAATGACTGAAACATTGACAATTCAATCTTTAGCTGGGTTAAATCTATATATTTTCAATTCATATAACAATTCATGTTTGAGTTACGCTTGTTACACTTTTTTTTTTTTTTTTGATTGCTATTGTAAGCCATTTTATGTATGTATTTGTTATTTTCTTTTGTGATAAAGGACCTCCATGAAAAAGAGTGGGGCTATTCTTAAATAAATAAATAAATATCTTAACTTTCAAGCACACCTTATATATATTTAGATTATAATAGCACCAAGTAAAATTGTATTATCAAGAGCAGTGGCTGTTGTGTTGGCAGTAGGAGAGAATGTCATGTGGGCAAAATGAAATGAGCCCAAAACAAAGAACTGCAAATATAATAGATTTCATGAACGTAAATAAAAAATCTAAATCCAGAATAAACAACAAAAGGTAACCAAACTGGGATCGAGGACAAGGACTAAAACAGACGTGGAATGACAATGACGGAGCAGAGAGTGGAGGACGACGTCGGGTTTAAATACAAAAGACAGAGACAGGTGACACAAAGGAGGTAATTAAAAACAGGAAGTAGAATACAGGGGTAGCAGATTACAAAATAAACCAGAAAATGAACCTAAACCATGACAGGAAAGCCAGATGGTCGGCATTAGATCATAAACGAAATCGGGACGAAACTGGAAGTAACAATCCTACTTTCAAATTAGTTTTAGACTAATCAGTCCTTAAATGGTTAAGTTTTAGGTGTCTGGAAAAGATGGTTAAGGTTAGGGTTGAGACTGGGTTGGGGTTATTTTATGGGAATGGCTGGTTAAGTTTAGGCATGAATAGGTAGTTTGTAATATTTACTTCCACTTCCGTCCAGATTCCGTATATGCTCTAGTGCTGACCAAAGCCAGATCTGAACTCTCACCTCTGATGAAGAAACATGTCAGGTAATTAAGCAGTACGAGCTTTCTTTACTTTCTTATCTTATTTAAAGAACCTTCAAAGCCTTAAACATAAGAAGACAAATTGAACCTTTTTAATTTAATGCTTATAAACCAATGTATTATAATCATGAAGAGAGGTGATAGCAGTTTTTTACGCAAAGTAGTTCAAAGCGCTTAACAAAACAAGAAATTAGAATTAAAACCGTTGCAGAAACTTTGGCCAGCAGTATTGTTCTAATCAAATCATCCACACATGTTGGAACAGTACGGTGTGTAGAGCCTGAACTCCCTTCTTGTCAGAATGCCAGTAGAGCAGCATTCAGCGTGTGTATGGGCCATCACTAATCCCGCTCTAGGGACCGGCCAGTTTGCACATTTCAGTCCCAATTACAGATCTTCAGTAGCACCGGAGGACCAGGACCATCCAAATGCGGTGATTAGCGCTCACTTCCTGGAGGGTGACGATGGGACCGGAACACTGTTTACTGACTGTCTGCACTGACTCCATCTGCACGGAAAAACAAGAGCAATCACACCACCTTGCTATAGACGCGCTGACCACAAAGTATGATCATGTGGTTTTTTTGTGGGAAACAACTCTGAAATCAAAGAAAGCTTATTGTAGAAAAAAAAGTGATTCAATTTTTTGTGAAATCTTTGAAGTCTGACCGATCGCGGAAGACTCAAGTGTTGTTTTCTTTCCTGCACATAAACAGTGTTACCCTGGACCTTTCATACTAAGGTCTGGAGGCGCTCCATTGAGCTCCGTTTACAGGAGGGGTTAACTTCTTTTGCAGATTGAAACGATTGGATCTGAGTTTACCGTGATGTATGTAGTGCGCCCGAGTCTGTCGTTAGCATTTAGCATTTAGCCTAGCTATCTCCTTTGCCGCTAACAGAGCCAGTGGGGAGTAGCGCCACAATTTCTTCCAGCGATTACATTTGCTAAACATTGCTCTTGCTCCGGCTTCAATTTCTTGATAGAACCAGACTGGATTACTTTACTATCGTTTCTTCACCATTGCCAAACAACAACCTGCTTGTTCGGCGCAAACTCTTGACATCACCCACATCTAACTACAACACCCGCCTTCCGCGCTCTCTGTATGGTCGGTCGAAATTCAACCGATTGTAATCGCTAACACAGGGACCAGACCCAGACGTTACATGCAGTGAAATGATGATTGAACGGAGTGTACGGATGGCTAAGGCCAGGCTAAAACAGTGTATTTCACAGTAAATAATAATGGTTTACTGTTATGTGATTCCAATTATGTGATTCTCTCAATTTCAAGACAATCTAATTCCACAGTTATCATTTGGTTCTACCGTTGTGCTTGAAAGTTTACACACCCAGCCATATATTTCGTTGTTTTGGAGATAACACAAACACGTTTTCCCTTCTCATTGTTAGTAAGTAGATAAGTGAGGAAGTGCTCTTTACTCAGAGTGCCCTTCACAAAGAATTTTGCAGTTGTTGTGGGTATTTTTCCTCTCACTCCACACATGATGGGAGAGATGGGTCGCTCTACAGGAGGTGCATGCTGGACCTATTTCAATGTTTTTTGGGTAGGGAAAACCAAAGCACCCAGAGGAAAGCTATGCTCAGACGCAGGGAGAATATGCAGCATCGTTCACACAGAAAGTGGTCTGAGGGTGGAACTGGACCCAGTAACTATGGAAGATTTTTTCGGTCATCAGATTTTTAAATGAGCTTTAAATTTTCCGTTTGAAATTTAAAAAAAATCCATTTACAAATTCAATGTGAAGATTTCAAAATGACAAATTTACCTACTCATTGAATGCCAGCCTATTTCAGAACAGGTACTCCCACAGTGCCAGCCATTTCTGATGATTTTTACTGATTTTTCAAGACCCACAGAATATTGTGTACTATGACTATCTGAAATCCGACACCAGATTCTAAAAGAATGGACTGTCTACTTTCCTCAGCAAAAAGAATTTTGTTTATAGCTTTTTTCGTTCCCCTGTAATCCTTTGTTGAGTAGAGGGAAGTTTTACTGAAATCACCAGAAATCACCAGAAAGCTGAGAAAAAAGAGGCATAACATGTGCACCTACATGTTTTCAAACCATTCAGAGAGCAATGCTGCCACCTGCTGGCTCGATAAAATATGGTCTCAAGTCATCCCCATACATTTTAGATACAATAGACATCTGGGAACGTGAAAATAGCGAAAAAGGCAATTGACGGATTAATGCGTCAATGGCACACGACGTTACTATTTGCTTTGACGTATTTGTGCGTCAATGGGACACAATGAGTTAAAATAGGGTGGGCGACAGTAGCTCAGTTGGTAGAGCGTTGGTCTCTGGACCTAATGGTCGTGGGTTCGATTCCACCACGACCCATGTCATCTGCTCCCACTGATGTCTGCTGTCGTTGTGTCCCTGGGCAAGACACTTAACCCCACTTTGCCTGAAGTCCCCGCTGAAAGATCAAGGCCGTAACTGTGATGAAGGAACAGCCATCTTCCCGTGGACCCACCACCTGCAGGAGGATCAGCGAGGGACTGGTGCTATGTGAATTGGGTGGCAACTCTGACTGCCACCCCCCTGACCCAGAAATGGACAATAAAGGGATGAGAATGAATGAATGAGTTAAAATAGGTCTATGTTCAATATGTTTATTTTCGAGCAATTTCAATCCGCTGTGATATTTGATGACAAAAAAAATTCAGATGTTGAATTTTGTAGAATAGAACACATACAGTAATAATACACATTTATTTGACACCACTAACGATGAGGTATTTTTATAGCTGTAGATGAGATAATATCACCCAATTATTATTATCTTTTATATGTCAAGCCAATCAGATCATTCAAGCTCTGGTCCGTCCTGGGAGGAGCTCCGTCAGATTCTCCTCCTTCACCTACACATTAGAGCCTAGGCATACGTCTTTTTAATATAAACCAATTTCAAGCACAACTGTGTCTAAATATAGTTTGAACCTCAACAACTTTTTAACTGTGTTTCTGTGTATTATAATATTGAGAGGAATATGATGTTGAGTCGAGTTCCTCCAACTCTCTAACCCTTCTCTGACACCCGTGTGACATCTGAGTGTTTTGCCGCTCCTTCACTGACAGGCAGGACTATGATGGCGTGCAAATGGGTTTCAGGGGTGTGAGGGCGGATCTGTCAACGTTCGCCCTCTCCACGGCCTCCTTCTTCACCTGTCTGCTTCTCTATAGTCCATAGCAGTTTGTGTGTTTCTGTATGTTTGTGTGTCCGTCTCTGTGTGTGTGTCCTACTGTCTGATTGTTTGTTTTGTCGCTCAGGTCTGGCCAAGCCCATGGGGTTAGTGGAGGGCCCCGGAGGCTTGGGGCAGGGGGGAGCTGCTGCCACTCTGGGGGAAGACAGCCACGACACCGAGGGCAAGTACGAAGAGTATGGGTACAACGCCCAGCTCAGCGATCGCATCTCTTTGGACAGGAGCATCCCCGACTACAGACCTAAGAAGTGAGTTTTTCCATCACAAAACCGTGTCTGTTTCAAATATTTACAACGCACATTGGACATGTTTGAGTATTGTGTAAAAACAACTACTATCACTGCTTGTTTTGAGTTACTAGTTGCTCATTAAATGCCTTATTTAAAAGCTTAGATTCACTGACAGCCAGAATGCTCCAGTACTGCGCAGCCCGGATTAATGACTGGCTCTATAGGTGCTGGTGTTTAGTTAGTGCGAATTAAAGTCCAGCCTGACCAGCTAGATCAACACGATTTTACAATATTTATCTTAAAATACATGAGGGCCTGAGTCTTTGTCTCTGTAACGAAGGAGCCAACCTCAGGAAATAGTGGATACAAATGATGAACCAGATGGATATGTCAAAGTATCTCGCAATCTAAAGTTTGTTTGTGCCGAGTCGCTGAGTAAATTGCTAATTGTAGTCCTTAGACCAGTTTGGGTCTAAACCAAGGCCTCTAGCTAGTCCAACCCCCACAAAAACCATTACACTCACACACATTATGGACTACAAACCAATCCCAACAAACAAGTTGTGCTTTGGGTCATGCACCTTTTAATGATTTTCATCCGAATATGGAGCAAGAATATCTCCCTTTCCTTTCTTGTGCTTCAAAAGTGACCTTTGATGAGACCAGCTTTGATCTAGTGATATTTAGCACCTTTCAAAGATGTTTTTTTACTGCCATTTTAGTCAGTTTTATGCTACAAGGTCAATAAAAATGAGAAGGAAGGACAAGGAAGGAGACATTTTCATTATTTTGGATGCAGGGCGAGTTGCGCGTTGACTCCCCGTACCCTCCTTCAATGAGTCTAGTTTCAGGCTCTATTGAATGTCCCCACCACAGTCTGGAAACAAACCTACGCCAATGGCAGGGTAACTCACTATCTATAAAATCTCTATATGAAGAAATTTAGACAGTATGTGGATTTATTTTCGAATTCCACAGGGAAATCCAGTCAACAGTATACAATTGACAAAATGGATATATCTACATACAAAGTTTGACAGGCCCCAAAATTAGATTCCTTCAAATATTTTTCATTTCTAGTTTTCTGTTGCTGACACCTGTTTTTCACTCTAAAGTGCCAATCGTTACAAAAGCGTGAAAATTTGCACATTTATCCCCAGCAGCAGTTGATCGAGTCTATTTTTGTCAAAGGCACATATTGTTCGACAAGCTCCATTGCCAAAAAACTGACATTATTATTCGTCAAACTCACAATGCGGAGCCGTATTGAAATGCATTGGCATGTTTTCCTGCTCGGCTGCTGTGCCAGGAAATGGAGGCTGCGTCACAAATGTTAAAAGCATTTTGAAACGGTGGGATTAATGCCGTTCAGCTTAGGCGGAGGTCAAAAGTGCATTATTGTACCATTGGGTTTGAATGAGGTTAGTGTCATATGCAATATTTGGATGTAATCTCCTTATTCATTTTGCCACAATAACGTACAGTAGCTATTTATTGTAAAGACAGAGATGTATGCAAGATGCCAACTTTAATAATTCATCCATGTTAGCTTTGGATCAGAGGCCATATTTAACAAACGCACTTCATTGCTTCATTGAAATCAGCTCAAATAAGAAATATGACACATGTTTTGGCAATTAAAAGTATATAAATAATGAGACTATTTACTTTGTCATTCCATGTTTTACAAAGTGAAATAGTAAAAAGTAACTCGCTTCAAATGCAGCCATATGTTTTTTTATGTTTTCATTTTGGACTGATGATGTGAATGTTTGCAGAGGGAAGATTTTTCTTAATATCTACCCTCTAAGGGACAACCCTCTGCGGACCACTTTACCACGGCTGTTTTTTGCTGTTTTTTTCCCGAAGGAATTTGTTATTCGTCCACAGCGGGCCGTACAACCGACCACCCAACAAGAATGGACCATTTGATTTAGTAAAACCTCTCTCCAAGTGTCTAAAACTAGCTAACTCTCTAGCATCCAGGAACCTTTCTATGCTGTTTTGCCACCCGGTCACAAACAATGACATCACTCAAAGATCCTCCTATTGATGGTTATGGGAACATTGCTTTGTATTAGTAGTACGTGCTTGTTTAGGTCTATCTATTCCTAATCTACTCAATGTTCGATTGTTAAAGGTGCATTGTGTAACTTTGATCTAGCATCAGCCGCTGGAGATACATGTATTGTACCAGCAGCAGGTGATACCAGATAAATATTCTCAAGCATTGGGAGAGTTTTAATTACTGGTATTTTTTTTTTGAATTCTTCACATCAAAACATCTGTTAAATTATTTGCTGTGTATGGTAAATGTAAACATTGTGGACGGACTGCACCACATACAGTATTATTGAATGCAGATTAAGATACCGTTCATCATCTCTACTGGGAGATGACAAAGAAGTTCTCGGAGGTCCAGAGCTGATTGTGTTTCTTCTGAAGACCTACCACACTCTTATAGAGATGTTGGTTTATTTTGAGGAAGATGGGCCAAATTATACGTGAGTTGGAGATTCAGATTCAGTTTCATTGTCTCCTCAGTGAAACTATTGTCACTCAGAGCAGAGACCGAGCCACACTCCTGTAGCAGCTTTCCCGATGGCTTTTAGGTCTTTGTCTGAGAGCTGACTGTCCTCTGGGATCCGAACCCCATTCTCCACTTTTCTGAGCATTTGGACAAGACAGATCTGCTGCTCAGTGTCAGGGACATCATGGGATTTTCAAATAATCTTTATAATCATTGCCACGACCATGAGGTGTGCAGCTTTGGTGCCTTTTTCTGTCTATTTCGAGGGACTGTGTTTCTTCAGATTCCTCTGGAGATCTATCCAAAGACACAATACACAATTGAATATGAATATATAGCGTTGGTAGGAAGTTCAACAAACTCTATCAAAGTGACAGGCTCAGCTAGAAGGGACACACTTCAGTCTCCTCAGACATGCTTTGGTCTGAGCTCCCATTGGCTCTTTCCTGGTCTCTGGTTTGAGCTCTTCTTGGTTCCCTAATAAGTTGATTTCGTCTTGGCTCTCTTGTCTTAGTTCCTCTTGACTCTCTAATAGTACGAGTTCCTCTTGGCCCTCTTCTGATCTGAGTTTCCCTTGACTCTCTAATAACTAGATTTCCTCTTGTCTTTGTTCCTCTTGGCTCTCTAATAGCTTGAGTTCCCCTTGACTCTCTTCTTTAGTTGGGTGACGGTGTAGAGCCTGTGCTGCCTGCTCTTCACACACTTTCTGTTGGAACAGTTGTCTTTGATACGGCTGCAGTGGTGGGTTGTGCATCTGTAAATGCTCTTTAAAGCCCCACATCAGGTCACAGTGGGGCTTACACCAGTATGGAGTCTTTCCCTGAGACCTTGCTCAATGCCTTCACTATGTCTTTGCCAAAATATATTTTTTTTCTTTTTTTTCATAATACGTCTCCTTGAAAGGAAAAGCTATTGTTACAAGCACTGCATATTGGATCCTCAATGCATAATTCATATTTCAACTAAGAATTCAACTTATTTTCTCAAAGTTATGATACTAACATAACATTAAAAAATAACCCTACTTCTTGAATAATTATATATATATTTTTTGTTTCTTTTTTTTTCCACAAAACCAATTAAGATAAAACATGAGCCACGCATTTTCATACTTCTTAATATTCTTGGCATGTTGCTTATTACTCATAAAACACCTCCGTACTTTCAAATTTAATCTGAAATATGCCACGAGTATGAATGTAATGATGTCCAGTCCAGGGTGTGCGTGTGTGTGTGTTTGTGCCTATGTGTATGTGTGTGTGTGTGCGCGTGGCGCTTTATGGTCTTAATTTCCTGCAGTGATGTGCGACACCCGGCCTCCTGTAAAGTCTGCAACATTATGACTATAATGCCCTTGGTTTTCAATAAACCTCACTTTATGTTGCCATAAATTATACGAGACATACACACTAAGCTGTTTACAATGATGCTGTGTAGTACTTTGAAAAACTGCAGTTGAAAAAAAAAAAATCTTTAAATGGTATGGATTATTTTGATTATCACATTAAAATAGTTGTTTAGATCATGATTGGTTAGTGAATATGGGATCTTTATGGATTTAACCATAACAAAGCTCCTGCAATGCACCTGGAGGCCATCTTAAAGTGATTGTCTGGAGTTTGTCAGAAAGAGAGACAGAGAGGTGCTTGATTTGAAAAAAACGACGCAAGCTCCCTCCCCCTTCCTTTCTGATTGGTCTACACCTACGTTTCCGTAACACTTTTAAATGTTAACCAGAGAACACATTATACATATACATTATTAATTCACATGCACAGAGGTTTTCAGAATTATTTGTTAACGTTTTAATGAAAAAAATGTTTTCATGCACAAAAAAATCGATCGCGGCAAACCCGGAACAAGCTATTATCATGAATTGCACATTATAGGACACATCTGCAGAGGATCTGGTTATGGATATAGGTTCAGTATATAAATGATTATGGATATAGGTTCAGTATATAAATGATTATGGATATAGGTTCAGTATATAAATGATTATGGATATAGGTTCAGTATATAAATGATTATGGATATAGGTTCAGTATATAAATGATTATGGATATAGGTTCAGTATATGAATTATTATGGATATAGGTTCAGTATATACATAAGTACCTCAGCGCGGATGTTCAGAATTCTTTGTTCAGTTTTCATGTAGTTTCAGAGCCTAATAGAGGCTTGATTCGGAGGCTCCGCAAAAACAAACAACTGAGCATGCGCAGCTGCGAGCATCAGCTCCGATGATTGACAGCCCTTGGCATGACTGATTGGTTAACGTGGACGGCATCGTGGATTCTGAGCTATAGCTAAGAGAAGGGAAGGCGGGACTTACCCAAAATATTAGAATTGATAAAATGACTTATTTTATTTCAATTTGGAGAGACGAGAAAACAAGAAGCTTTTGAGTATTTTATTGGGAGGAGGTTTGGCGCCCTAGGCCCCGGTGCGGCCTTCAGATCGGAGGGGCTCTGCGATGGAGCGTGCC